TGCACCCATCTCTGTATTTAATTTCAGCATTTCTAAGTCTCAGAAGCTTGTTGTGGCCTAGGAAGTTTTTATTATATATGATTTCATAACTTTTCATTTATGTTATTTCCTGTTGTCTTTGTGAATCTAAAGATAACTGTGAAAGAGATATTATTATCTTTTAGAAAAATCAAAAATTCACACCAATGGGAGGGATGGATGTCAAAGAGCAAGGATAAGTTTCATGAAATGTTGGCTATTCAGTGATGGCAGATCATTTAAATGAGACTGGAATCCATGCATATTTATTCATGTGATCTCTATAGTCCATTCTAGTATTTAAAACTTGATTTAGATAAATTTACAGAAGGGGTAAAACTCTAAGAGTAAATGAGCTTACATGATTTTTATGTGTTATTGGTAGCTACTAGTGTATGTAGTCTGTTGATTTGAAAAAGTAATTTTCTTTTACGTATACTAAGAAACAGACTGCTAACAGATGTCATATATCTTTAAAGCAAATTTATGGTACATTTCAAAAAGTAACATATGCTTTTATAAATAAATTAAGGTACAGAAGTGAAAGTAAATTTAAAAGCCTCCCAACTTTTCTCTACTACAACTTGATGAGTATGCTTTCGTATTTATGTGTGTTTGTATAAATGCCCACTCATTACTTCTGGAAGTATATTATTCAAAGGATATGAAATAAGATAATAGACATAACGGCCATGAAAAACATGTCACTTAAGTCTTGATAGTCAGTTGTATTCTAGCTGTTCAAGCGGGTGACACTATTTTGGGCACAGATGCTTATCTGTTACTAAATAATTAGTAATTGGTCTAGGTTAAGCGAGGATTAATTCTCTATGTAGTTGTTCTTTTCTAGCTCAGAGGGGAGAGTAAGTATGCGTGGCATCTCTTCATCTATAAACTCTATCTGTAAACTTTTTTCTAATCACCCAAGAGCCTATTAACCCTCCTTTAGCCTGATAAAAAGGGTCGAGGCACGTAAAGAAAAGATAGCTCTTTAACCTCCGGTGTCTGTAACAGCAGAGTTGCTTTCGTATTCCTTAGAGTTGGGGAAGGGGCTCTGGGCTCGAAGCCAATGTAGGAGACATGCAGTTTCACAACTACTGGTGTTCCTTGCTTGATTGTTAATGACCTACTGTGGCTCTTTCAGTTTTGTGAGGAGCTGTGCCCGCAAGCCCCAGGACAGCGGTTTGAAAACAGATGATCCTCCGAGGTCTGACCTCTTAGGACCAGCTGCAGTTTGGATGCGCTCACTCATTGTTCGGCAGTAAGCAGCTTAGACCCAACTAGCTGCCCCCTCGACGGTCCCCGTACAAAGCTGTTTCTGTCCTACCCAGGCGGGGACTCCGGGCTCAGCTGCTGAATCTGCGGAATTAATCAAAGCGTACTTAGACCACATTCCCCAAAGACTAGTGATTTCTATAGTGACTCCACCCCAGCACTGTGAACTGCCGTCCTTTTCAGTGACCCCCTGACTGCTGAGGACCTGAGAGCGGCCTAACGCCGGGAAGACAGTTTAGATAGAATGGCCTCAGTGCTTATTGATGAGAAATGTGGATTTACACGTTCTTCCTGTCAGGGTTTGTAATTAGCACTTCTCGAATCTCGTAAGTTCTGAATTTGGTGCTGACTTGCACTCTTTCATTTGCTCCTAGTAACACCTTAATAGATAGTTGTAATTATTTCTGTTTTACAGAGAAGGAAATCGAGAGCTGCTAGGATATGTGTCAGATAATGTAGGAGGAGAAGTGGTTTTTTATTTTGGCTGCACGTTGAAATCACCTGGAAAGCTTTTGTTGAAATACTAATTCTTGAGTTTATGGCAGATGAATTAGATTAGAATCTCTGGGGGTGGGCCGAGGCATAGAATTTTAAAACAAACAAACAAACAAACAAACAAAAAACCTTCCCAGGTGATTTCCTTTTGCAGCCAGAGCTGAGAACTTTTGTCCTAATTTGTCCCTGGACCAGCCGCATTTGCATGAGGTAGAAAAGTGTTAGAAATCCAGACTACTGGGACTTTCCCGGACATACTGTATCAGAAACTGAATTTTAAAAAGACCCCTAGGGAACTATTTGTACAGCTTTTGCAACCTCTCTGTAAATCCAAAGCTCTTCTAAAATAAAAAATGTTTATTAGAAAGAAAGAGATAACGTTTGGGATGCAAAGATCAAAACCTTCCCTCCAGAAGCTCAGTCTTGCAAGAGAGAAACTTATTAAGAGGCAATTTGCTAAAAGCTATAATGGAAATAATGTAGAAAGTGCTGTCGTTTTTCGGGAGAAATTGAAAAACGCTGCTTGGAGAACCTTGTCAAAGGAAGGTGACTCGAAGGCATTCCCGGCACAAAGAAAGGAGGAGGACAGTTCTTTAAGAAAAGTTGCTAATGTAAAAGGAATTGACAAAGAATATGAAACTGAGCCTTGATGAAAATATAATGTTTAATATGCACATGTATATATTTTTAAAAATAGGATAAACCCTAACTAAAATTGAGGATTAGTGCCATACAGGAGAGGTACTATAATAATTAATGGAATAGTTTCTTTTTTTTGAGAAAAGCAAAGTAATTAAAGGAAATTCATCATTCCTAGCATTAGCCCTCTTGAAGGGGGTTGCAGACAGGCGCTGTTTTGGGATTCTCTTTCTGGGGGCTGTCGTCACCCTACTCTGCCATAACATTTCAGCTTCTTAAAGGAGCCACTCTTAATTTCTCCCCCAGGCCTTTGCAGGTGCTTTTTTCTCTGCTGGGCTGGCCTCACCCCTACTTCTGGTTAACTCCTCCTCATTGTCAGTTAGGGTTCTGCTCAGAATCACGTTCTCCAAAAAAGCCCTTATAAGCACATATGCGTAGCCCATGGACACAGACAGCAGACAGGCGAAGGCCTGGGGTGGCTATCGGTAATACTCTCAATAACAGCAACAAAACAGCCCTTTCTAGTTTACAGCCTAGGTTGGGGACCGTTCTTCTGGGTTCCTATAGCATCTTGTATGTGTCGCGTTGTTGGTACTCTCATGAAAGAGTACCTTGAAGGCAGGGATTACCTTTCAACGGCTTCTGTGTCTCCAATTCTTTGCCAAGTGTTTGACTCAGTAAATGCTTTGAAATAAATGAAAGAATTGAAAATAATAACCTATATTTGCTCTTAGTTTACAGTGACAAATAATCTTTGGAGATGGCCAGAAGAGATTGAAATGCTTTTTGCATTAATAACTAGGAAGAAATTTAGAGACTTCAACCTGTGTATAACATGTCTGGTATATAGTAGATTCCCAGTAAATTTTATATTCTTATTTTATACTTGAGGACTCTGATTTAGATTATGTTCAAGATGTGCCTCTCAGCATGTTATTGAGAATATGTGTTCAAACATGGATCATTACTCATAAATTAACAATAACTTTTATAGCTTCCAATTGTTAAGAACCTATACATGTCAGGTATTATAGAAATAACATATATATTTAATAAACATATATGGTCACATTTAATTCTCTGAAAAAAACATGCAAGGCTAATATCAGATTTGGAGGCATGGATTATGACTCATAAATGTATGGTTCTGGAGCTCAGGCCCTTTTCCTAATCATCTTTCTTTCTGCTCTTCCCCGTTGCCTCCCTTTCTTTAAGAACAACTGCTTGCACCTTTCTTTTAATGGAAATTACATGGTTGGGCATGAAGGACTTGGCCTTTGATCACTAACTTGCCGTATGATCATATACAAATCACTGAACTTTTCCTCAGTCTCCACACTTATAAAATAGACCTGTTAAACTGTATCAGGGGTTCATTTATTATGAGGCAAATATCTGAAAGGCCAGTGTGTGCCAGGCACTGTTCTAGGTTCCAAAGATAGGGCATCAGAAAGAACAGGCAAGATCCAGAGTCCCATGGAGCGTATATTATGGTGACTGAGGCGGAAAGGAAACAAGTAAAACAGAATCAAATAGTGATCGGTTCCATGAAGCAGGCAGAACACGGCGACCAGGAAGAACTCGGCTGGAGCAGGTGGGATGGCCACGGGGGGTGCTCTGAGAGGCCTTCCCCCAGGCAGTCACATTTAGGTGGGTACTTGCAAGCAGAGCAGGGGTCAGTCATGAATGCATTTGGGGATGCAGAGTTCTAGACCACTGAAGACCAGTGCGGCTGGCAGGAAGGGGTGGCAGGAGAGGAGAAGAGAGGCTGGCAGGTCCAGATCATGGACTTAGAGGAAATAGTAGAGACTCTTTCTCAAACGCTGGTGTGTGGATTCCCCAGGGAGATCCGTGATGATGTTCTTACACCTTCGATACCTTTGACATCTTTGATACCTCCTTCCAACGTCTCCGCCTCTTTTCATGTGTTTGGGAAAATTTGTTTCTATGAGTCATGCCTTCGAGTGGAAGCCAGAAAATTGCTTCCCAAGACTCTTTTGCATCAAGGACACGTGCGTATGACCAAGGCTCCGTGTTAGTCAGATGCATACAGGTAAAACCTTAAATTGGAAATTAGTGACAAGAAACAGGCACTATTCTGGCAGTGATGGTGGCTGATACATTTCATCTACAGGGGCAGCTATAGCAGAGTTTCTAATATAGCATCTGACTCGCAGATCCTGGTTAGCAAAGTGGAGTTTAGTGAGAATGCCTGGTGTTGGTGGCAGTGCTGAGCTTCCTGGACCATTTCTATGCTGTTATTTCAGTACCATTTCTGACTTCATAGCTTGGTTCTCTTGCCATCATGAAGTTTCTGTGTGTCTCTAATATTCACCTATAAATTTCTTTATTTAAATTTACTAGAGTGTATTTCTGTTTGCAATTAAGAATCTTGTATCAGTGCCCCAAACTAGAAAGTAAGTGTCAGGGAGATTTACTACCCATGTCTGAGAAGCATTAGATTTATGAGAATCATTCCAACTCTAAGTTCTTGAGTTAATTACTGGCTAAAAACAACCTGGAGATGTAAACGCTGCGTATTTCAAAACCCAATTTCCAATGTTTTTATTTACAAAATTAGTATTGGTAAACTTGTTTCTGTCTTAGAAGCCTACTTTATTCTCTGCACTCATGGGACAGCAGATTAATCATTCAATTATCTTCTCTGGAAACCTCCTATCGGCCTCCATTAACTTAAAGAGGAGGACCTAGTATAAAGACTAGAACTTCCCACTAGACCTTAGATCTCTCTAGGCTTCCAAATGTATCATCGATAAGGAATGTATTGCCCTGGACAACTCCTCCCTCATAAAACCCACCTTGTTGGTAAAACTAAATGAGAATTTAATTATTAACCACAATCCTAAACATAAATGCATATCTTTGGAGACATTTGGTATCTGTTTAGTATCATTATTTCAATAAAATATGTAAGCAGCCTTTTATCAGGTCTCCTATGCTGCATCTGGGAAAGAGCATATAAAACTTAAGTGGTTCTTAATAGCTGTACAAAAGTAAGGTGAAAATATGTTTATAATTATCACTGTCCCATCTGTTCTCTACTTGTGCCAGGCTGGTCTCGGAAGGGTTGTTAAAAATGTAGCTACTTCTCTAAAATGGCTTTCCATTTTCTGCCTCTCTGGCTATCCTTCCACTCTGTGTTGAAGTTCTGAGTCTTCACTAATTCCTGGCAATTTTATTTCTTCGTTTATATTCTTATATTTACAGGTGAATTTGTGCCCCCCCTCCCCTCCGACATATCAATTGGATGCAGTGCTTTTCATGATGACTACTAGCAGAGAAAATCCCTCTTCCAGCAGCTATTTAGGTAAAAATGATGATTGATTCCTGGGAATATTTCACTTGTTTATTTTAGTGGAAATTACTCATGATTACAAGTAGGAGAGAAGTGAGGTACCCATTTTTCTAAAGGCTTTATCTGCCATAATACCAGTATACACTTTTAAGAGCAGCTTACTTTGAATATCAACAGAAAAGCAGATTTTTGATTCAAAGTGTCTTTATGTGAGATGTAATCATTAGGCTTATGCATATTTAGGCTTTGCTTTTGCTAGTGAATTTTCAGACTTCCTGTTCATTTCCTGCTTTGTCAGTAAGATTTTGGTGACTCACTTACTGAGTGTTATTCCCTAGAGTTCTTCTCTCAGTCTTTATGGGTTTAAAGACAGAATGCTTTTGGTGGGAAATTCTCTTCCTGGAATATCTTTTCTGGTTGTCCCTCTGCCCTCTTTTTGTCTTAATATATGATGTACGTTTTAAATTATGCATTACAGCTGGAGATGTACATTTGCTGTATTACTAGGGAAATTTTGAGAAATTGAAAGTAAATTTTTTAAATAAATAGCTAGGTTATGGGTAGATGATGGTTATATATATTCTGTTTATATATATATATATGTTTAATTTTTTTATAATACAAAATTAAAGAGAAAATGTTATATTATTAGACTGATATGACCCTGTGACTAGGCAATTTGCTAGGCTTCTCTGAGCTTCCTTATTTGTAAAAGGGACTCATAAATAAAGGAGTGAAAGTTTCACTTATAGGATTAGGATTTTATCAGGAAATGAATGCTCTAGTGTTCCAGTGCAGACTCTACTCTAAAAATACTATTCATATGTTGAGTATTAATTATAAAAGGATTTTGTGCACGTGTCACTCAATACTGATTAACCTAAAAGGAACTGGACAGAGATTTGCATAATTATTTTTTGTATCAGGGTAACATAGGGTCATGGAGGCTAAGAGATGGCTTGTGTTGTTAGAAGGTGGTCACTTGGGAAATGGAATAAAATTAAGCGTAACTTGGAGCAACAAGCCCTTTATTTTCTGTGTTAGTGAAGTAAGTGGTGATCTTAGTTAATAATAAATGATAACTATTTCTTAATTGGGGGACATTCTTAATAATATCTTACTTAAGTTAATATTGGTTTTGTGGGTGAGGTTCTTTAAAATTAGAGAAACTGTCCCTGGAGAAAGAGGTCTAGGCTAGTTTCTCAGGGAGTCCAATGGGAATTTAAATCTGCTCTAAAAGTTGATTTAGAGATAATTTATTGTGAACATTTAATTCCAATTAATAACAGCTAACATTTATTCAAAGTTTACTATATCCCTAGGAATACACAAAATGTATAACAAATTATCACATGTCTGTTTCACAACTATATAATGGAATACTATTACCTTTCGTTCTGTGGATGAGGTAGGTCATTGCGGCTCAGGGAGGTTAAATACTTTGTCCAAGCTCATATAACTAAAAAAAAAAGGTAGAACTGAGAATAGAAATTGCCATTCTAACTCTAAGACCTATGGTCTTTACTATACCACATTGGTTCTTTATAGCAATTATTTCAGTCCAGTCTGTTTTCTAAACATTTTTGTTTTTCTACCTCTTTTTATATGCTTCTTTATTCAGCTCTTTGAGCAAGTACACATGACATTTTTATTATAACAGTTTAGAAAGTCCATTTTGGAAATGGAAAGGATACATATCAAGATGTATAAGTGCAAATAACTAATTACATACTGTGTTCGCTTCCTAGGACTCAAATACTACAAGCTTGGTGACTTAAAACAACATATTTATTTTCTCACAGTTCTGGAAGTCAGAAGTCCAAAATCAATGTGTTGGCAGGACTGAATCCTTCTGTAATCTCTGAGGGAAAATTGGTTGAGTCTCCTAGCTTCTGGTTGTTGCTGGCAATTCTTGTATTCCTTGATTTGTAGATGTGTAATTTTAATCTCTACCCTTGTCTTCATGTGGCTTTCTCCCTGTGTCTCAAATCTCCCTCTTCTTCCTTTTATAAGGACACCAGTCATTAGTTTTAGGGCCCACCCTAAATCCAGGATGATTTCATCTGAAAATTTTAACTTAATTATATCAGTAAAGACCCTCTTTCCAAATAAGGTCACATTCACAGGTACTAGAGATTAGGACTTGGACATGTCTTTTAAGGGACCACTATTTGACTCACTACCTATTTTGAACATTTATATTAAAGAAACAGGTGATATAGTACAAGTACAATACAAACTTTAGTTTTAGATCATCTCAATTTATAAATTACTTAGTTTTAAGTGTATTTTATACAAGAGTGTTATTTGATACACAGGATATCACATTGCCAGAGATTCTCCCAAAGATTTTATACTAATTATAATCTTTTAGTTATTTCCAGGATATGCTATTGCATATGCACATTTAGTTCCTCATTATTTAATATTTTGATATTTGAAATTATTCTTAAGAAACTCTAAATGTTAAAAAGATATTACATATTCTATTGATGTCTCCTGCTTCTCATTCCAAAGCACTTACCATCATGACACAGAATGTTAGCACTAGACTTAGTGAGGAGATAATGAATTAAAAATATTTACATGGTTTAAGAAGATGTAATAATATTTGATGATTGGCCAAAATTGGAAGCATCTAAGAAAGAACAACCAAACTGGGCATCAGAAAATCTGGATTCCATTTTCAGCATTTTACAAGGTCTGCTCCTCTGCAGACCTTAATTCTAGAGAATAAAATGAACCACAGCATGTAGATTGGAGCCCTGGAGAGGGTGACTCATGAAGAAATGTGGACATCACATTTTGAACACACTTTTAGAAATAAGAAATTAGGGTACCAAGGATGATAGGTGTTCTGTACATGTTTAAGGCAATCAATATGTGTTTTTGACATAAACTTAGAAATACTGTATTTGTTTTTTAAAAGTTTAGTGTCATACTATGGAGGAGATGCTAACTGAACAATAAAAAATGCTGTAGTACTATAGGGTTAGAATAGAAGTCCTCCTAGCTGATGGTATTGGGAGTATTGTTGATAAAGTAACAATAAAAGATAGTTAAGGTAGTGTAATTACTGAAAAGATGTATATCTGCTTAAACTATTTTAACTTAAAGCTTATACAGATGTATTTATTTGTCAAACTTTTCATGTAAATTAAGGCCTTTCCTTTGAGTATGAGCCTACTGATTGGAGTATTACAAAGACTTTCCTTGGTAAAAAAATTCTCATTACAGATCATCCCAATGATTAGTTCTTCGTATATCGTGGTTTGATTAGGAAGGGGGAAGGAGGAATGGATGCTTGTTAGGCAGTCAGCAGTTTTCATTGCAATAAGCATGAGGCAGGTACAGTAAGTGTGGTGGGAACAGAATTTCTTAAATATATGTGGGGCAAAATCTAGTAGCTGTGGGTGTTTAGTTAACTACAGCACCAGTAGGTATGGTTTACATTTTAATGGAGAGTGTCAGTAAGTCTGGTGAGTGGTGAACTGGGTAAGTGGAACTTTGTTTTGAGAACCTCTCCTCTTTTAATTGAGTTTTAAAAGTGCTACAAAAGGCTCACAGAAGATTCAAAGGAAAAGGACTTGCAGAGAAAATTAGATTTGAGCCAACTTTGAAGGACAAGATAGTGAAAAGATTCATGATAAGGAGAGTGCCTGCTTGTCTTCTGGGATTGAGAATTTATTCCGGGCATTTGTATCACAGGTTGAGAGATAAGGGGAGAGAAACTTCCATTGATTTCAGTGCTCTTGAGAGAGCATTTCTGTGGTCACTGGGTCATCTAGTTGTATAGCTGTTCTTGGGTGGTCTTTTCCTGGATGGCCATTCTCACCTCACTTGAACATGGTAAGTCAGAGACGAAATGTAGATGTGATATTCTTGGATGGTTTACAGCTGTACTTATTGTGTGATATCATTTATGTATCTATGCACATACTTCATTTATGATTAGGTTCTTTGAACAGATATGTCTTGCAAAATAAGATTAAATCTTCTATTTTAAAGTCTAACTTTTTTATTATAAAAACACTTAGGACCTTATTTTTATGAATAATTTTATGCCCAAACTCTGAGCAATGCTTAGAAATATCTGCTTTCTTAAAAACCTCAGATTATGTACTTTAGTCTTCGCTAAAAATACACTTTTTGCTTACTAAGTATGGTTATGAAAAATTGTCTTCTTTATTATTTTCCTGACCTGTTTGTAGTGCTAGCTGTGAAGCAAATGTACTTCTTCCTCTCCATTCAGTTATGCAAGATGATTTTCCTGTCATTGGCCTCACACCACTCTCATAAGCAATTTGTGCTATCTGCCAGTTGCCCCTGCTGTCACACACAACAGTCTAAAATTGTTTTCAAGATCTTTTTTACTTAACTGATTTTTTCAAATCCCTCCAAGAAATTTCACTGCACATCAGCTAACTTGATCATCTTGCGGGAGACAGTGAGAGGGAACTATCTCAAGGTCAAGAAGCAGTGTAGAGCGATGAAGGTAAATGGAACTGCTGTGGTTTCAACAGCATGCAGGAAATGGGGAAATACAAATATTGGGTATAAAACACTCTTTGTAGACAGTTAGGTGTTAATGCAAAGGGATATGGTGGAGATAAGGTTTTATTAAAGATTAAAGAGATGGGAACACATTTATAAAGAAACCAGTCAAGGAGGGTAGAAAATTGATGTATCTTGGTCCTATTCCCTTTTCCAGAAACAGTGTTCCTCCTCATTATTTCAAACCCATATTAATAGCAATAACCCCTAATATTGTTTGACTGTATTGAATGTGTCACTCTGTGTGATGTTTTATGAAGAGAACTATGAGGTCTTGCTCTTGCTCTTTGGAACTTGCAGTCTGTAGCACATGATGTAAACAGCGATCAGTCCTGCTTTGAGCGTGTTCTTTAGCAGAGTTTTCATGTAGCCTATTTTTTTGAGTCATGGTTTAATATATATGTCTGTATGAATCACATAAAACAGACTTATTTTAAACCTTTCCATGGAAAACAGAA